ATATTATTTTATTTGTTTTTCAGCATGGATGTTCAATCCCATGTGTGGTTAGTCTGAGAAATAAAGTGAGGACGCTGCTTAGTGTCATTAGTCACATCACATGGTGCTTACGGATCATTAAAATCAGAGCTGTCGTTTTAGTTTAAAGTGAAGAGAAAGTTGTTGTTTGAACTCAACATTCAGGGTTTTCTTCTTGTTTCTTTGTACAGGTGTGTGCAGGTGTTTCCTCGCTCTGTGCTGTAGCTCTTGAGGTAAAATGATTTTCTAAACATTACTGTTCACAGAGCTCAGAGATTAAATGTTCATCTGGATAATTTAATATGAACAGACTTCATTAATTTAAAAGTAAAATCTGTTAATCCAACTTTCTGTATTTAATTTACTCAGAAACAGCAGTCTGATTAATTTAAGTGCAGTAACCAACAACTAACCACCAGAGGGCGCCCTCTCTATATAAAGTGATTTATAAACGATATAATGCATTTATTTTCAACCTTTAACTTTAGTGAACGTTAATTGTGCAAGTCAATAAAGTAATTGGATATTTAAGATCATTGTATGCTAAATTATTTATATTAAAGCTACATTTTTACTTTAGACCTTTTCTTATTAGGTTTAGTTTTACAACATACATTTTAATGAGTTTATTTTCTTTTGGTTTTCTTAATGAAAATACCACAAACCTTTTTATTGATTTAATTGAAATGATGAATTTGATAAACACGGCTTATCATTTGATATGACTAGTTCAGTTCAGATTAAACACATTAATTAAATTAAAGGAAACATTTACAAGTTAAAAAGGTTGTTTAAAAATTCTTCTTCCTTGCCTTGATTAACTTTCATAACTCTTCTTCACCTACCTTATGTGCTCGATTATGTTAAGTTCATTGATAATATTGATCTGTGGATCAATTACAACTCTGAATATATATATTTTATGTGTGTATAGAGCATTTTCTTTCCCCCCAAAGCTCGATCAGGTTAAAGGTAAACAAACTTGTAGAACTTATAAGAGAAATCTGTTAAGGTGTTTCTTAAGACCTTATACTTAATGTTTCTATATTATATTCTACATTTAAACTTTGAATTTAAGTTTGCTTCGGTCTCATCCAAAACCCTTAAAGTGAAGTTAAACACAGATAATTTACAGTGAATGATGAAACCCAGGTTTATTCCAATCATCACAATGTTGTATGATCAAACATTTTGAGTTTTATTAACTTGATGAACTAAAATGTGTTTTTCTTCTCCAACAGGAACTCTGTCGACGTCTTCCAGGAGGATCCCCCATCGGTGGCCGTCTTCCTGCTCAGGTAGGAGACTCAAAGCTTTCTTAATGTTGTTTTATTATGTTCCAGGTCTTATCGCTGTTTAGACTCAGTTATTTTAATCATTTGACTAAATCCTTTTTGATCAGCTAAAACTCCAACCTGTGAAAGGAGAAGTGATTCAAAGCCTTTTCAGTAGTAGATGAGATGTTTGAGTCCTGAGAGGGATTTAGAAATGTCAGGGTGATGCATGATGACTGATTACTGCCGATCATTTATCCCTGACCGTTTGGGATGATTCTGTGACATGTAGAGAATTTGTCTTCATTGTGATAACAGCGTGCATGTCTGTTGAATCTGTCTACATGATCATGAATGAAGTGATGACCTCCAGCTGTCTCGTGTTGGTTTGTTGGTGAGTTGTGCATGAGCTATGACTGTAATCTTTGTATTGACAGGTGTGAACATCGTGATGTAAGTGGGACAGTGGTTGACATTGAGCTGTTAAAGTGTGAGAACATGAATGGTGAGTTGTGCATTGCATCACGACTTTTACCTCTTGGTGTTTAGTTTGAATCTTTGGTGTCAGTTGTATACATCACCTGTAGTAAGTTGTGATGTTCATGATGTTGCTGCAGATACTTGAATGTGATTGTGACATGTAAAGGTGTTTTTATTGTCTCCTGCAGGAAGAAATGCTGCCCTGCAGTGATTGGGTGTTGGGTGCAGGTATAAATGGTGAGTGGAACATATTTATTGTGAAGTTCACATCAGTGAGTGGACATTCAAGTGAAAATAATAGGTCACTCTATGTTTGTTGTTTAAGTCATCAGCTGTTTCTCGTCAGTCTTCATACTCTGTGTTTGTGTATGATTCAGATGCGTCTCGATGGAGCTTCCCTGCTGTGTTTTCATGGCTCCACAATGAGGGCGGTGCTGGTTGTGTCCCCTCTGGATGCACAGAAGGTCCTAGGTCAGCTTCTAGCACAGGACCGGCGCTGATAGAGCAGGCCATACGCCCGTCCAGCTCTGCAGACTCGAGTAAAATACTATTAATGATTATTAATGATAAAAAGTCTTTAAATTGAGTATTTTTTCATCAAAGTTGAGAGAGATGTTTGTGAAATGCAAGCTGTCAAGTGCTTCTTGGTCGTAAACTTTTAAAAGAACATAACAGTCCTTTAGTTGCATGTACATGACAAAGTCACCATTGGTCTCAAGATGGACATGTTGTTATAGATGTTATTAGGAGGAGTGATTAAGTTTGCTGATATCGAAAAAGTACAGACTAAAAACATTGAAAGAAAATAATATTCTCTCAATGTTTTTAGTCTGTAATTTGCTCATGTCTGAGCAAAAGGACTGAGCAGAGCAAGTAGAGTAAGATGCTTTACAGAGACTCTGATTAGAATCCTGTTGATGGAGTTTTGTGTGCGTCTCCTCACAAGGTTGTAGACCACAAACTGTACGGGAGCTGAGCTGAGTTTGACGGCACCAATCGATCGTGTGCTGGAAATTTTGTCAAGAAGTGGGACGGTGTGTCTGAATTTTGCACATTTTTTATTGTCAGTAGAGAAATAAGACACCACCTTTTGTCAAAGAGCTTATAAAACCCTCATCAAACTTGATTGATGGTGACCTTTGACCTATCTTTGTCTGTAGCAGTTGGATGGGGGTGAAACACTGGGGCCTTCAACAATGTCAGAGAAGTGGGTGTAGTATGCACACACACACAGTCATTTATTTTATGTCTCTTTGTTTTATTACAGAGGTGGTGGAAAGGAGAAATCAAATTATACAGCATACCCCCACGCGAGCATCTCCACCTCAAAGGCAGAGAAGAGGCTGAAACTGTCATCAGGAGTGCATGACAAAGGTGCGGTTACAATGTGAAGTCACTCAGAATTTTATTTCTTCATTTTTTAGCGTGATGTGATAGGATGTAATTTTGAATTTTTTAAAACATAGATTCAGGATGTTTTCCTGCTTCCATATAGCCATAGACCAGTTGAACAATATTCTGACCTCCCCTTGTGAAGCTGACTATGATATGGACTTTTTACTGTTTGATTAATAATATAATAATTAATATACTTTAATTTTCAGATTTCTAGTGTTACATTTCCTCACAAACAAACATGGAAGAAAAATGAGCGTTGTGTGTAGAGAAAAATTGTACTTGAAACAAAAACTACATTCCATTCATAAGTTTTGAGAAATGGTAGTTGCACTGGAAGTAACCTGTACATTTAGAAAGAAAACAATCACAGTGGTTCTGCATGCCATGCTGTCCAAATCTGAACCATGAATGATTGTGTAGTTGTAGACATTTTCAGTTGACAAGAATTAACGCTTTAGTTTAAATAGGGTGAGAGACGAACACATTTACTATGAACTTGACATCAGTAAGCTGATGTTTGAACTTGTGACTTGATGTGTTACGGTTATGTTAGACGCTGGCTTGTGTGTTTTAAGGTGTTTTCTGTAGCTCCCCGGTGCCTGCAACACTCATGAGGCCCGAGACCATGACACTCCCACCACCATGATCGACTGCATGCAAGACACACTTGTAGTCCTCCGCCGCACACGCTTGACACCATCTAAACCAAATAAATTTATCTTGGTCTCATCAGACCACAAGACATGGTTCCAGTAATCCATGTCATTAGTCTGCTTGTCTTCAGCAAACTGTTTCCAGGCTTTCTTGTGCATCATCTTTAGAAGAGACTTCCTTCTGCGACGACAGCCATGCAGACCAATTTGATGCACAGCGTATGGTCTGAGCACACATCAAGCTCTTCTATAGAGATAGGCTCATCCAGTCTTGCAGCAAGGTCTAGTCTAATCTTAGGGGGGCAAAGAAACTGTTAAACGCTGTACAGTCATTGGATTGTTCAGCAGTATAAAGGGAGGCATAAAATTGTTTTAACTGCTCATTAATTAGTTTGGGTTCTGTGGTTATACCTGTGGAGTTTGGATCTGTGGAATTTGGTGTGAAGCTGACTCCTGTCTCAAGTAAGCTAGAAGCTTACTTAGCTTTATCCCTCTGCTCATAATAAGTACATCTCCATTTAGAAAGTAGTTCCTCTGCACAGGTGGTAGAAAATTCTGCTTGAAGCAGCAACGCTTCAAGTCGTTCTTATATAAATCTGGTGTTGGAGCAGTAGAGTAGACCCCATCAATCTGTGCAATCTGCTTAGATATACCTGCCAATCTCTTACCTCTAGTTTTAGCATCGTGAGCACAGTAAGAGATAATTTCCCCCCCAGTAAATATGCTTTTAATGACTCCAATAACAATGAGGCAGAAATTTCAAAACAGAAGTGAATACCAACAGAAGACTATTGCAGGGGATTTGGGCACATTTTGTTTCCCTACCCACACATGTGTCGCTTAACTCACGAATGCACAATCCTTACAAGTTATACCTTGTTGTAAATCAGGCTTTCCAACGATATCAAATACAACACCAATTATTATCATTAAAGGGGCCAAATAATTGACCAAAAATAACTATTTTTGAGGAGTTTAGTTTCCCTGTCACTCGTACATATCTACCATTTGGATCAGATAAGACGTCTGAGCAAATAAAATTAACCAACTTATTAATTAGTTCAGATCCAGAGAGCAATAACACCAAATTTAACACACCTGCTCCCCATTCACACCTGAGACCTCATAACACTAACGAGTCACATGACATGTTTAGTTCCCGTGAATCAATCTCAGATTTGTAAACAAAATATATTTATTTAAAGAGCTGGAGGAGTTAACCTCCAAACAGTCTGACAGTTACAAACCAACAACTTTACAGACAACATACTGAGCCCCCTCAGACTTAGGCCTAAGTAACAACACTGTATAGATAACCTACCTATAGGTCTGTCTTTATGAGCAAAGCTCTTACTTCGACCACATAATAACAGATGATTCTTTAACACAGAGTCGCAGCTCAGTGAAGGACCGTCTCCCACCTGGTCAACAGAAGAGAGAGAACATCACTTTACAACATCTAAACACATCACCCCAGGAACAGACATCACACATAAACCAAACAGAGATTAGAGTTTGAGATTAGAGCTTGACATGCAGGCACAAGATTGAAGTTTGAAAGATTCACAACAACATTTTCTCAGCAACAGCATCATCAACACTCCATAAACATTGACATTCCCATTTATTCAAAAAATAATTACAGCATACATTGAAATAACAACACACATACACATCATTTAACGACCACACATATCGAAACAAACGACGTCAACATTTCTGAAAAACCACACACATACCTATGTCCAAAGAAATCATCCAAAAATCAACAAAGAAAATCCCTCATCTGTATCAGTTGTACGTCTCTAAAAACTTTGACCAATGTCTGCCACAAAACAATTTGATGAACCAATCACACGCCTCCCTCTCTACCTCTACTCAAAGCACATCACCGATGACTTTAGCAGTTTATAGTGAGTTTACTTACCGCTGAATGAGACGGCCTTCTTTGTTCGGCATTCGGTCCCTGAACTGTTCGACGAATACTTCCGGTTTCCTGCAGGAAGTGAAGGAAACAAAAAACAAACGGCACATCTGAATATTTGAAATGAAAGGAAAATGAAAACGTGTTTTCAGCAGGAGGCTCGTCAGCAGGATCGGCTACACCTGCTGCTCATTCACTCGCTGACCTAAATCGATCTTTACAGATATCTTCTCACCACCTGTGCATCACACCCAACTAAATCCATTATTCACCATTAAGGTTTCCATGTCAAATCAAGTACTTCTCATAAATACTTATTTCTAACACAAACTTAAATCATACTTCTCAAACTAAAGTTACCATGATTAAAATAAAACACTTTATATGGAGAGGGCGCCCTCTGGTAGTTAGTTGTTGGTTACTGCACTTGAAGACATAGATACTTTATTGATCCCGAGGGAAATTCAAAGCATCCAGTAGCAGGTTACGAGACATGAAACATTTGTTACAAATTAATCACAAAACACGACGCCCCCCTCCCATACATATTAACCCGAAAAAGATTTAAAGAATACCCCTAGATGAATCAAACTTAAACTGTGCAATTAAAAATAGACTTATACAAGAAATGTACATAACCCGTGCAGGGATCGAAATATGTGTAAGTCACCATTCATGTTCTCACTCTATACCTGCTGAATATCTGCCACGACCCCAGAGTCACACTGTCAAAATCACATCAGGACGGAGCGTTCACACCTGTCAATACAAAAACACAAACTTACAAAGGTTATCTCATGCACAGCTCCCACACCAACCAACACGAGCTAACTTCAGCTGAATCATCACTAATATTCAGTCAGCTGGAGATCATCACTTCATTCATGATGAATGCTTCAACAGACATGCCCGCTGTTCTTACAATAAAGACACAAATTCTTGAAGTCAAGGAATTGGCTTGCGGCTCTACATGTCACAGAATCATCCCAACGGTCAGGGATAAATGATCGGCAGTAATCAGTCATCATGCATCACCCTGACATTTCTAAATCCCTCTCAGGACTCAAACATCTCGTCTACATTCAGCTGTAGTCGTACAGTTTACACCAGTCTGCAAATATTCTTTTTTCAAAGTAAATCCAAAGATATGGATCAACTTACCGTCAGAAGACGTCTCTGTGACGGAGGGACGGGTGGAGCTACAGAAACCCAGGAGGTACAGAAGCTGCAAAAAACACAGATCATTCTCAGAAAGACACAAATATCACAAATACTCATCACACTTCATAACAAAGTGCCGCCTTCAACTCTAGTGCACAAATGTCCATTTTAACATCAGGGAAAGGTCACATGCTACACCATCACCATGTCCTTCACCTGTGAACCACCAAATGCCATCTCAGACCCGGCTCTGCTCTCAGACACCCAGGGGGGGACGAAGACGCTCACGGCCTCAGATGAGCCCTGCAGCGAAACGAGGGGGAAGCAGAGGGGAGAGGAAGAAACAGGATTTTCTTCATGGAGCAACATGTTACACTGTTTTACTGCAGCTGCACGGTAAATATCTGGAACTTTCTTTGACAGAAAAAAGTTGCTTTCTGGATTGTAACAGACCCTTCTATTATTCTCCATTTCTCTTAGTCTGTTTTTTATTCCCATGAAAGTAAATAAAGTTTGCTTGAACATAAACTGAAGCCCCTTGACCACCTACACCTCTTTTTTTAATATTGTTTTCAGTGAGTCTAGAGCGCTCACAGCAGCAGACGGCCGCTCACAAAAAACACCACGTCTGGTCTCTACTTGTCTCAAACTGAAATATTTGTTCCCTGAAGATTACACTTCACACGATCAGACAACTTAAAAATATTCATCACATTTGGTGTCTAAACATCTTTAGAAACTTAAAGCCCAGAGCTTTTATTTTGAAAACAGTAAACACAGTCTTACCTTCCTGTGATGCTCCGTCTGTGTAACGTTCAGGTGTCACTTCTGTGCAGACGAGAGTCCTGCAGAGATAATCGGAGGAAACATGAATCACACTGCAGCCACCAGGGGGCAGCATCACACATCACACATCTTTATACCTTTTACACTCCAAACTCAACAAGAACAATAAATATATTTATTCTGAATATGTTGCTTTGGATGCAGTTTGTTTCTGTTTCCACCAGAGGGCGCTCTGTCCCTGCAGTTATGTGTCAGCGCTCTGCAGATGTGCAGCCATACAGCATGACGGACAAGCTGACAGAACCAACAAAGAACACACAGATACCATCAGGAGACTATGTAGCGTCACAACTGTTTACAATCTAACCACCACTCACAATGACTGATCTGAAACGGTTGCCATGACACTAATTAACAACTGGAATTATTGGCGTCAGGTCACTAAGGTGGTCGCAGCCGACTGGTTCCGTGCGAAGAAAATAATATATTTAACATCAGATATCTCACAGGATTCGACACAAACTTTGATTTTAGTGGACAAACTCAATTTACACACTGGTCCATTTTTGCGTTACCTGTCAGGTAACCAGGTCCATACACGGTTCTTTCAAGAAGTATCCACACCCCTTCTCTTATGCTAAAATCATTACATCATCACATTCACATCCTTTACACTGTACTTACTTGCAGCACCTTTAGTAACATGACAACCTGCACACACCTGGATTGAAGCCAGCCTCTCCAGTAAACAGATAGACGATAGATCTGCCACTACTACTAACCAACATCCCTGACACCCAGCCACAACCACCGCCGTCCTCATTCATGCACGGCCCGCTCCGACCTCCACCTCAGCAGAGAGGAAGTGTGGACAACAAGAAGAGAGGAACACAAAGGAGAAAGCCTTCCTGCAGATTCTAACATTTCTCTTAACAATGAGTAAGATCTTCAACCTGCTCTGAAGCGTCTCCAGATAACACTTGTTATGAATTAAATGTAGATACTCTGAATCTCCGTCCGGTTGGATGGGGATGGTCGAGGGACAGAACGCAGTGGAGCAGGAAGTCCTCCTCCTGCATCCTGTGAGGTAAGTTCTGTCTCAAGCCATCCGAGTTTAAAATTACATTAAGAAGAAAATAAGACAGAAAAATCATCGTTTAACATCTTCTGGTTCATGAGAGCAAACAGAGTCATCACTCTCACACACGTAAAAAACAATCTGTATGTTTCTACAGAACTCAAGATGCAGACTTTGAACACTTTCTCCTAAAACATATCTGTACCGTCTTGTGCTGCAGCTCCTCTGCCAGCTGCAGGTTGGTCCGATCTCGCTCCTGCAGCACCTCCTTCACCTCCTCCTGCGAGGGACGTGGGGTCAGAGTGACCCCAGAGTTCATGCAAAAATGATCATCCTTATGAAATCCATCTTTAAATGAAAATACTTGATATTTCAGAGGATGAGAGACAAACCTCTTTTTTGTCTGCTCCTTGAGTTTCTCAGCCAGCTGACTGTGTTGGTTGATCTCATCATCCTGTGAATTATTACAAGAAAATGACATCAAGTAATAATAAGAATTGAGAAAATGAAAGTTTTTGTATTTAGTTTGAATCTTTAAGCAGGTTGTGTCTTGTCTTTAAGTTTAGTCTCACCTTGTCATCCAGCTGTTTGTACAGGGTGCTGATGTCCTCCTCGTATTTGCTCCGCTCGTCGCCGGTGACCGAGACGCCTGCGGCAGGTTAAAAAAAATAGGTCTTTGGAGCTCAGCTGCTCCTCCTCAGGAACGTCCTCTCCTGAAACACAGAACAGGAGTGAGCTAGTTTTGACAATACACAAGTATATCAAAATGATACTTAATTCTTCAATAAATCTACTTTGTCACTTTCCAAAAAAAGAGAAAAAAGTGTCCCAAAGTTACATGACAAGAAACTTAATGTTTGTTAACTTTCATAAATCAATCCATTTTTATTCACTTAGCTCCAAATCATAAGAAAAGTGATCTCCAGACACTTTACAATAAGAACGGCGAGCCACCTCCGCAAACATTAAGTTCAGTTTTTGGTCAATATTGTTGTGAATTTACTGGAAATGTAGCTTATGTTTTTCCAAAAAAGCTCAACGTTTAAACTAATTAGGTTGTGATTTTTTTTAAACACTTTTAGGGGCAGCCTGACTAAAACAAGAAGAAGCGTTGTTAGCATGTATGCTACACCACGCTGCTTCACCTGCTTCTCTGAACTTCCTTCAACATTTGGTGAGTATTTTTCTTGGCTATTGTAATAGAAGTTTATGCAATGGGTTTATTTTAGGTGTTTTAGTCACATAAAGTCATATTCTTCATTTTATTGGTAGGGCAAAATACTGTTGAAGGTAAGTAGGTGCAGCTAACACATGACGGATACAGGTGTTCAGTGATAAAGACTTACCTGGGACAGTATGAACCTCGCAGTAAATATCTAAAACACTAGAAATGTTTTTTTATTAGGAAACATTTGTGATTACCAGATTTGAAAGAAGACGTGTAAACATATCTTATTTCAAATCAACAAGCATTTTACGTGATGCTAATGTTGCTACAACATTAGCAAGAATCAGATTCTTCACCAGAATCAGATTCTTTTGACTTCAGTAAATTTAGCAACAATATTATTTGACTTTTCTTTCAGAAAGGTAAGAAGTATTTTCAATTAATGCATTTAAAATGAGTAATGTACAGAATGGCTCATTTACTTTTCATGTATTGAACAATTGTAAATGACCCATATATGCACACGTTTAAGGGCTCCTAAATCGAAACTTTTTTCACCATAATCTAACGTTGTTTTGAATGTGTGCACCATGTTTCAGCCTGACATGAACTTTAATCCCTCATGTCTTTGTTTCTTGTGTTTGATATTCCAGGTGTGAACTCTGAAGAGTAGGATCTGTGCTGCAGCTGGAAGGTCAAATGATTCTCTCTGGATTATAGTTTACCTGTTAGCTGCTGTTTTATTTACCTGTTCGCTGCTGTTGTAGCTTTTCTGTGTATTTTTCCTTCAGTCATAGTTTTGTCTTCTCAGTCTTTAATGTTTGTTGTTTTTATCTTTCAGCTGTAGTTTTGTTTTGTTTACAGCTTTCATTGTCTGTTTTCTTTGGTTTTTTTGTAGTCTCTTTAGACACTTTAATTGACAGTAATAGATTTAATGTGTCTAAAGACACTGCAAATGAAAATCAAAGTTTTTTCTCTCACGCTGAGCATCGCCCCGGGCCATATGTGGTGGCAGCAGTCGACAGGTAATAGGGGTTGAGAGCTGCACGCATCAAAACTTATTGCCTCTGGCCTTTTTTTTTCCACTTCACGTCTCTCCAATCTGACAGCTGGCAAATGTAGCCATGGCGCGAGGTGCTGCTTGGGACTTTTCATCCCATTAATTAAGTGTAGGGGAAGTAAAGCGTGAAAAGCTGGAGACAGGGGGACTTGAGTGGACGCTCTCCTAGCAGCCAACAAGGGGAAGTCCCCATGAAGGCAGCCAGGTGCAAAAAAAGAAACGGCAAGAGAACGCTTGAATTGGATTAGTTTTGGGCGCTTTAACTTAATTTGAGGTTGAGCTGAACTTGAAGTCATCAAAGAATTCCATCAAACACTTCGTCTTTTATCAAGTGGATGAAAGCTGCTTGTTTTTAAGTCGGAAAAATGGTTGTGTTAAAGAGCAGCCTTCATGAATACCACAAGAAACAACAAAAGAGGGAGAGAAAAGACAAAAAAAAGGGGGGGAAATATTCGCTTTAAAAGAAAAGCTGAGAATTTGGAATCAGATACTACAACCTTGTTAGCATGGCGGACTTATTTCCATATTAATGACCCCTTTAGAACCTTCAAAGTAATGAATAATTGACAACAAATGAAATGTTTTGATTGTTGTCAGCGCCCAGCGTCTTTAATTTTTCATATGTTGCTTCTGAGCTAATTATGGAGATGGCACATTTGTCAGAAATATGTCCCCCTCGCAACCCCTGCCCCTGCCTGTGTTTCCAGACAGGAGAGGGGGTGCAGATCGCTACAGGCCCACTTGTAATTAGCTAGCAGGGAATGCTCAATGACCTGGGAGGGAGTCTAATGGCTGCCTGTGCTTACAGGCATTGTCTGGCCACCGAAACAGCAGATATTACAACCTCAGAGGGACGAGAGCGGAAACGGTTATTGATGAGGGCGCCCAGCCGCAGCGACACTCAACACACAGAACAGACCTCTGAACGTGTAACAAAATCAAATAGCTCAAACATTTCATTTCGCAAAAAGTGGGAAACCTTCCTTTAATCTTGATGATGAAACTCTCAAATTGAGTAACCAATAATCAAACACACTTCTTCCAACCTCTTAAGGCCCTGACACACCAAGCACACACCAAAGAACACAGCACAAAGACTACAGCCGACGGCCAACCACCACTTACACTCAGCTGTCACGCACCACTCGTATTAAAGGTAGCATACTCCAGATCGAGATAATGTCTGATAAAAAGGTGAAAATTAATGAATGATAAGAATAAACCGCACTAATGGGTGAAAGCATGGATACTACAGCAGCATGGTCAAGGGGCTTTCCTGAACCTGTGCCGAGAGGAGATAAATAAACTTCCCAACAGCCAATCAGAGAGATTCCTCTCACCGACGCCTTTTTAACATGTCGACTCGGCCAACGGGGTTGACGGGTAGCGTCACACTGCAAAAAACGGGGGCGACGACCACTCACTGTGACGGTCCAACTAGGACGGACGATCTCCTTGGTGTGTCAGGGCCTTAATCGAGATCACAAATCATTTCACTGGATGCTGCATGCTCTTCGGTGGGCTTTCATGTATTCATGCAGTAAATGTCTGTGGATTGTTTATCAGTATTGTCCTTCTTTCTCCATGTTTCTGACTGCAAACCAGTTTCCCTGAGGGGACCATAAAGATACCTTTGACTTCTTGAAAACAAGGTGGAACACTCAGACTTGAATCACGTCTTTAGGGGCCTTGATGTGTCATTCCCTGGGCTGAATTGAACAACATTTGTTTTTGGTGTTTACAGACTGAAAACAGAACAATTACTGTCAGAGACATATTTTATTAATGTCCCAAATGCAGACCAAGCCCTTTGCTATGTGCCCTGTGCTTTTGCAACTCAGCGGATACAAAATAAACAAGTCACCATCCCCAAAAAGCAACCCGACATTCAGTCAAACAGGACAAATTGAGTCGATAAAAGGTATGGATGCATGTCCTCAAAGGGGTTCCGTACAGTTGTCTATATTTATACACTCCTTTTGAGCTGAACTTTTCTGAAGCAGCTCGTCCATGATGAACTTTTTTGGCCGACAACTCGTCTGTCTGATGCACCTTGACAAGACGACAGACAAACAGGAGCTGACAGAGGTCGAGTGTGTCAGACAGAGAGACAGCTGGATCGTGTGTGTGTGTGTGTGTGAGTGTGAGAGTGTGTGCTATATTTGGCTGCCTCTTATGTTTGTGCGTCCTACAAGTTTTTGTTTGTGTACATGCGTTTTGAGTGTTAGTGTTGGTTCGAGTGTTTATCTATGCATGTGTGTGTGTGTGTGGTCGTCACAGTCCAGTCAGGTCGGAGTATCCTGAAGACACTGTCAGCCACGATTGATTTTCTCTCTCCGATCCGTGGACGTGTTCCTGTAACACAGCTGGCCCCCCGAGTTGCGTTACCTTGTCATTTTGCGACACAGATCAAAGTGAAGACGAGCTGGAAATAGCCGCACGGCGACCTTGAACTCAGAGAGGAGGAGTACGAGACGGGTGTGACAGGAGCTCTGAAACACACACACACACACACACACACACATATATTATACACAGGTTCCTGGAAACATAAATGACCCGGCCCTTGTAATGACCCGGCAGCAGACTTGACTTCATGCACATCTCTGTGCTGTGTGTCTGAACTCTTTCAGCCTCTGGCTCGGTCTGGTTACACTCCCTGTTTTTCACTTGCGCTGTATGTCAGTATTTCTGATGCTGTCGTTGCCTGCTGCAGATCTCATTTCCTTCGGGGTAACTATGAAGTTGATTTCAAGACTTGAAATATTCACATGTGCGACTTTAGATGCTTTAAACCTCCTCGTCTGCAAGAAAGAACAAAAAAAACCCCAACATGATTTCTAGCTTGCTTTAAATCACACATCTCTTCCTCACTGCGGCACACTGTGACAGTTCCTCTCAGCGTCCAGCAGAGGGCAGAACAGCACCAGGAAACACACAAATCTGTCTCCAGCAGCAGCAGAGTTTTACAATCCAAACTCACAAACACACACAGAACATCCTGTAACCCGACCAGGTTCTGCAGAAGCTGCGTCCTGTTACACAAAATCATTTTGACTGATTTTAGATTTATTTATTTAATAGGGACGATGCAATTTAACGTTCTTTAAATACAAAGCATGACACTGATGTGCTGCACAGAGTTTACAGCTAAAGTCCAGCTCTCGCCCCTCGTTGGGCCTTTGTAAAAATATAAAGGCACCTAACACTATAAGGATACATGAAAATACATAACCAACAATATGACGATACAAACATTATATAAACCAGTTTAAAAGCTCTCGTTTGCTTTCAGCAGCATTTCACCGTTTTAGTAAAATGATTTAAATGTGAAATTATTTTCAGTTCAGGTGGTTAACGTGTTCCAGAGTTTACAGCCGCTGATGGACAACGCTTTGAGTCGAAATGGAGATCTACGTTTGTACTGTTCTTTCTACGTGTTCTACTTCACAAGCGTTAACAAAGATAAACAGCCACCAAACGGCAGGAAGTGAGCGTGCATGCTCCTTTAATGACTTTATTAAAAGTAGACAAGTCGGGCTGACAACAAGGAGTCGTTTTATTTCTAAAGGGATTCACACTGAGGACTTCGGATTCAACATGAAACCCAAACAGATGCCACCGTGCGCTTTCTCTGTTTTGTCCTGTTTCCTGTCTTGCCAGGTTTCAAAATAAAGGCACAATAAATAACAACGTAAACATATTTTTTAACAATGAAACTTTGTCCTTCAACATATAAAATAGATCAGGGTTGTTCTCTCCAGACTGAAACACATCGCTTCACATCAGCATTAAATCAGAGGTTTCATTCGACAACAAACACGAGTCAAAGAAGGAAAAACAAATGTGTAACAGAAGAAAGAAGGAACAAATCATCATGTTTTAGTGTCTGTTGAAAATGAAAGGTCCCTGATGTCATCTTGATAATGAAAAATAAGTTCCTTTAAGCACGTATTCACTGAAGTCTGAATATGTTTTGTACAAATCCGGTGAATGAATCAGCTTTTATGATAAATGTAGTCAGGTAAATCAATCCTCAAAGTTCTGTATGGACAGACAATGGATTGCCTACATGTACCAGCATGCTTTGCAGCTTCTGCTTCACATCTGCTTGGAGACTAAAATTCTTCAGACCAACAACAACATGTCATGGATTCTGTGAACAAACATCAGCAGAACCTGCAGCTTGTTCCACTTTAACAGACATGTTTAAAGGAAGAACATCTGAAAAACGTCCTCACATTGAATATGTTTCCTTTTTTTCTTTCTGCAAAACATTCAATATGAATCTCTGTTTGGATTTTGATCATATGTGCACATGTAAGTGTTTCAACCTGTTACCTGCCGCTCTTGTTGCAGAAGTTGGCCGTCAGGAAACAGTTTGGATGAAGTCAGGGTGAAACATGCAGCTCTCCTGGACAATGTGCTGATTTGTGAATGTGTGAAAGGGGCTCATGAGGTTTAACTTTGTGACAATAGTTTGTTGAAGACCTTGACCGTCTTTGTTTGTTTGTTTGTTTGTTGCGTAAGAAGTCGACTGACCTCCGCCTCGATCCAACACCTCTAGGATGAACCGCATGGAGCCAGAGCTTATCAGCCTCCGTCAGGGTCGGAGCTTGTGTCTCCTGCCTGCAGACTGATTCTAAATCTGCTCTTCAGCCCTCAGACGAGTTCTGAGTTCTGTTAGAGCCGCACGCTCACGCTGAACGTGTCCACAAACTTTTGGCCACTTTTTAAAGTCTCATTACACAATAAACGACGTGATCGTTCTCGCTCAGGATCAGGTGAACGACCTCGTTTCACCCAAAGGATGCTGGGAGTCTCCTCTGTCATCTGCTCCGACATCACCCTCCTCCACACACACACACACACACACACACACAGAGAGAGAGAGAGAAAGAGAGTGTATCATGGCCCAGCTGCTCTCTCTCTCTCTCTCTCTCTCTCTCTCTCTCTCTCTCTCTCTCTCTCTCTCTCTCTCTCTCTCTCTCTCTCTCTCTCTCTCTCTCTCTCTCTCTCTCTCTCAGAGCTATTTGGTTGGTTATGGATCCCTGAGGGACTCCGCTGCCTCCTGTGAGACGGGGATCCGCGCCAGGCCCTCGCTGCAACCACGTGTGTGTGTGTGTGTGTGTGTGTGTGTGTGTGTGTGTGTGTGTGTGTGTGTGTGTTTGTGTGAGAAGGGGAGGGGGGTGGTACTCTGGCTGGCACTCCTTCATACATGCGCCAAAAGACAACAGAGCAACAACGCTGTGTGTGTGTGTGTTTGCAGACGTTCTCGTACAGACACACCGTGCGAACAGTTCACATTTATTCCATATAAAAAATAAAAAATAAAAGGAATTTGAGAATTTTGAAGCCAAAAAAAAAAATCACAAATATTCAGTTTATTTTTCCTCCAGACTTTCTCACTGTCAGGGTGGGAGACCCCGTCAGAAACACAAACATCAGCGCAGAACTCAGCTGTTTGACGACATTTCTTACCCTGATTCTATTTACAAAACAAACAAACAAACAAACAAACAAACAGGAGTTCTGGTAGCCTAGTGGTTAGTGTGCACGCCCCATGTACGGATACTATGGTCTCTAAAGGGAGGGTAGCACAGGTTTGATACAGACCTGTGGCTCTCTCTCTCTCTCTCTCTCTCTCTCTTTACTTGAGTTCTGACTCTATGGACTGTCCTCTCTCTAAATAACTAAAGGCATTAAAAGCCCAAAATAAACCTTCAAACAAACAAACAAACATAAAGGTCTCCTTACACAAACAATCTGACATGCAGATTCTAAGTCTGAGGTTTTAAAGTTGTTCTGATAATAAATCTGCAGGTACCCTGAAGGAGGAGAATGAGTTTAGTGTATGTGTAGTCTCAGTTTGAAGCATTTTCTGATGACATAAACAGATTATTGATTGATGAAGAAAGGTATTTTTACTTGGATTTCCCGCCTTTTGTTTGTCTGTTTCTCTCAGTTTAAAGAGTACATTTTTAGTAGCCTGGAACCAATCCTGAAATGTCATACTTCAACATCAAATCCCCCCCTCCAAAAAGAAAGATAAAGATGAACTTTTCTTTCCAGGTCGTAAACACCTCAACTTCTTCTAAAAGTCACTTTTAGTTTAGGAAACGTTATGTATCACATTTCACATCTCTGTGCATGTCATCAAACGGCTGCGTTATGTTTTCTCTTCTCCAGTATGCTCCTCTCTGCTCTGTAGTTGTCGTTGTGATTCTGTTGAACTATAGTAGCGTTGATATAAAGACAAATATTGTCATTATAGAATCATACAGCAGACTCTGTTGCAAATCGTCAACTTCTTTACGCCACGGCTTGGGAAATAAATAGGAAAAAACATTTGACAAAATAAAGTATATAAAGCAACATGAAAGAAGTGATGGAAGAACTTTAGATACGTGCAGGAAGCTCCGAAAAGTAAATCTCTCTCTCTCTCTCATGAGAAGTGACAATAAAGCATGCAGCATGTGGTATTTCTGATGAGCAGTTAGTTACACTATGACTTCAATAAATGCTGCAGGGTGATATGTGAAGCCTTTATGGATGTCTGTTTGTGATTGGAGCAGACTGACAGTTCAACAATCCTCCAGTGAAACATCGCTTATTTACATTTTGATCGACTTATCTATAAATGCATCTTTTATTTTTACTTCCTGACACGACTCCACGCTCTTCACCTCACCGTCTCATACAGAGCGTCATATATCTGTCAGGTCTTCTACTGGAGGGTCCAACACGTCCAATCTTTGACTCTTTTTCTGCTCTTGTGGATTGTTGAAAGTTTCAGTATTTTTCATCTTCTTAAATACATGTTTGTTTTTTGCATCAAACTGCAGCGTGTACTCATATTCAGCTGACCTTAAAACACAAACATCTTATTCCAATAAAGAGTCGAACACATCGGATTTAGGAAGGAGCCAAAGAGCTTCTCTGAGAGTGGTTCAGGTTTTGGATTTCAAAGCGTCAGCAGTTTCTGTATTTATTTTGTCTTTTTTAACTCCTGCAGTTTGACCGTTTTCATCCTGAATGTTTTCTGGCATGGCGACCTCCTCTGCTCTCTCTACATCTCTCCTCTCTTTCCCTCGGCTCAGACGCAGACGCCGTTATTGCTCCTCATTTTTAATTGTGTGTCGATGCCGCAGCTTTGGCGTTTTGCATTTGTAATAAAAACAAAAAACAGCTTTTCTTCTTTTTCAGCCTCTGAGCTCTTAGTTTCACTTTCTGCCTCCGACAACTTTGTTCCATTTCTCATTCTGTGGCATAATTACAGCTTTATGGCGTTCTGCAGCGCCGCCGTGGATATCCCTCTCCCTCCTTCTTTTCCCGCAGATTTCTGAGGGAGGGGGTGAATAAAATATGTTTGTGTGTGTGCGGGGGTTAAAGCTCGGTCCAGCCACTCACACACACTGTCCTCATGTGTCACTCCTTGTTTCCTTAATGCTTTCAGATGCTGTTTGTTCATATTTATGCCTCATAATGAGGGAGGGGGTGAATAAAATATGTGTGTGTGTGTGCGGGGGGTTAAAGCTCGGTCCAGCCACTCACACACACTGTCCTCATGTGTCACTCCTTGTTTCCTTAATGCTTTCAGATGCTGTTTGTTCATATTTATGCCTCATAACTCCACATGTTTTATTCCGTTTGTTTGCATCGAGCGGCGGACGCTGAATTATTCAGAGCGGGCCGAGCCGACACGACAAAGACGACGGGAAACTTTTGGACGTTTTCTCTCTCTGAATGTAACGGCACAGAGGCTCTGATGATGGCCGAGAGTCGTTTTTGTTTTTTCTAGGACAACATGGCGGCTTAAAGAAGACGTTATGAACATGTGACTGCAACAGTTTGAGTTGGTGACACCCGGCTCTCTCATCCCGTCTGTCTCCAAAACATCAAGTGTTCAATAGAAGAGGGAAATGTAAAACGGTTTGGCATCAGGAACGTGATGCAAGGCTGACGCAAAAACACACAAAGACAAACTTCTCTCATGAGAGTGCAGCTGCTGCTTACATCGGGAAACTTTAACCAACAGCTTTCCTCAAAGATACGACGCATTTTTGTAAAAAAACAGAATGTTTTCTGTCTGAAGTGTCCAACAACAGAAGCAGCAACGATCACAGGTTCCTCTTTAGAGAATAAAACACAACCTGGAGTAGATCCTGGCTCTTTAAATAAATGATTTTTAACATTTAAAGATGAAGATCAGAAGCAGGTTTTTAAAGTTGACTTTGATGATTTTTTTCAGTTACATGGCTGGAGAACTTATTATACATACAGATACTAGGTACCAGGAACTTCCACAGATATGTGTGCATTGCATGTTCGCTGATCTGTAGGTTCCAATCTGACCTCGGCCCTCTGCTGCATGTCACCCCCCCTCTTCCTAACATCTCTCTAATAAAGGTGAAAAGGTCAAAGTCTTTCCTCATATTGACTCAAAGCAACTGCCACTCACTTTTTAAATATTCACATTAATCCATATGTAAAAAAATAAGCAGGAGGAGATTTCTATAGTCAGAAAACAAGATGTAAGATATCAGCAAATAGATAGAAGTTACAGCTTTGTCCACAGGGGGAGCCAAAATCAACACACTGAACGTTTCTCTCGGATGTTTTAAAACGAGAAGACGGTTGGCTCTAAAACATGGAAGCTAGTCGAAATTGTAAGATGTGGAGACACTCTTTAAATAACTTAAACCAAGTTTTGGTCTCACCGTTTGTCTTTTTATAACTCGCCTCCACAGGAGTCCTGTGACCGTGTTCTCGTCTTTATCATGTCACTGAACTGCTGCTGTATTCCTCTTCTCCTCTGACGCCTGTGAAAAGAACAAGCAAGCACGTCAGACAGTTTTAAACATTTCATTTGAGCAGTGAGATGTTCAAGTCTCAAATTATTTCACTATTATTTGTTCAGATTTTTAACCTTCGATGATTAAGGTCACTTTCTGTTTTGAAATCATTTCTTCATTTGAGCATGAGAGCATTTATATGTCTCATGAATTCAACTCCATGTCTCCTCTTTTAAATGGAACATTTGGCTATAATTCTGATTTGTGTTTATATGTACGACTTGCATGCCCAGTGTGTGTGTGTGTGTGTGTGTGTGTGTGTGTGTGTTCAGGCAGTGATCACACACACCAGAGTCCAGGAGGCGTCAGGGCTCGGAGGTAAAAGAAAAGATAAGAAATCAAACCCTCTCTGTTTCCTTTTTTCTCTCGCTTTTCGCCCGGCCTGACCTATTTTGCGCAGAGTATCTCATAACGGCAGAGTTTAGGGCTGTTTAATGCTCGGTGACACACTCGTGTCCCGCAGTCTTTTCTTTCTTAATCCCTGGCATCTTCGCTAAAAGATCTCTGAGAAGAAACCGCGCTCCTTTCTGGCATCCGGCCGCCGCGGGGAAGGGGAGATTGTCAGGCCGCATTTCTTCTCTGCTCGCCAGCCATTCCTCAGGAGGACTGTGTGTGTGTGTGTGTGTGTGTGTGTGTGTGTGTGTGTGTGTGTGTGTGTGTGTGTGTGTGTGTGTGTGGAGAGTTAGGTAAACTGAGGGGAAGAGGGAGGGGGGAGAGAGAGAGGTGGCAGCTCCCCCCCGCCCGCGGGGAATGAATCCACCTTGAGCTCTTTTTTTCGGAGAATTACAGGAATGTTTCTCTCGTGTCACCTTCCCTCCAACATGGCCGCAAACGAGCTGATAGAGACGCACCGATCCAGAGAGGAGGAGGAGGAGGAGGAGGAGGAGGAGGATGCCCGGAGGTGCAGTGTTTCTTGTCGTCCTCTGATAGCGGCTTGTGTTTGGCTGCAGGAGGAATGTTGATGTGAGTCGGTGATCTCGCTGACCTCTGCCCGGCCGAGGAAGAGGAAGAAACTCTTCTTCTTCTTCTTCTCTGCTCTCTGCCGCCCGTTCAGACGAGCGGAGACGCACTCTGATCCAAAGTGTCGCTTCACTGACAAACAGTCACACTGAGGGGTTAAAACACACAAAATCACCTGCAGCAGGGACAACCTCGTTTATAGCATCTCAATGCCCCAAAAAGGTTTGCTTCTTCTCTGAAATGCTGTCCTAAAACCGGATAAACACACGGCCCCACATCTTACAGTCAATGCAACACATACATATAAACTTATTAACCAGGTTATTTAGCCGGAGTCTCCTGTAGACCACGACCCCAGCGGTCCAGCGCTGTATCAGTTTGAACCGTTAGCACAGGTAGAGAAACAAATCGCCCTGTTTTGCACAGGTTTGCGCTTTATTAAGCCACCAGACATCCTTGACAAAAACTGTATTTTTACCAGAATAATTTGGATAAACTTCTAAATCTCACACTTATTATCACATTATTTCTCTTTACCAAAAAAGTAGGGCGACAAGTAGCGATTTACTTCATTGTCGAATGATCTGCTGATTATTTCTTCAGTCACTGATTGGCTATTTGGTCAATTAAATGTCAGAAAATAGGAAGAAAAGGTCAAAAAGGTCAAATCAAGACCTTAACAACATCCTTAAATGTCTTGTTTGTGCACATTTATTCAGTTTCCTGTCTTAGAGACAGAACATCAGGGAGCAGGAGCAAAGATTTTTCTTTAAAAAAATTATTTTAAAATGACAAAAACAGATGAAACGATACGCAAAAGAGTTTTCTTTAAGACGACCTATATGAAGTTTGTCTGCTTAAATTTACCCCATCTTTAGTTTACTTTCATATTACAAACTTCAAACTGAAACATAGAGGCTTTAAAGCGTTCAAAGTGCAGCGTTCTGTACACTGAGGTGCAGTCAAAACACACAGAAGAGCAGCAGAGGAGCTCGTCTTTCTGCAGCAGCAGATAACGACGAGGTCGACCCCCCAACACGAACCCGGGCGTCCAGGAAACCACAGTTTTCCCCCAATCAAAAGTTCCATTAACCTGCAGCGCCGGGAGCTAATTGAGAGCGGGAGAGGCTGAGATGTATCGGCGTGTCACGGCGGCGGCGTCAGCACACGTCACACCACGACACGCCTGACATATTTGTAATTATCCCAGGGTAATAAGAAACGAAATACGGCAACAAAACAGGCGAGCGGGGAGGGAGGGATTGAGCTCCGAGAGCAAGAAGACAAAAAGCAGGAAGATTTCTCCGACCTTTGATGAAGCAGATCATGTTTAAGCATTAAGAGGAAAAAAATCCACAAATCTGCATTACTGTTTGGAGATTTATGAATCTTCACACGTGCTCTGTGCTGCTGCGAGATCACCAGTTCATTATGTTTCTGTTTCTGATGCTTGTGTCTCTCTTATCTCCTGGAGAGGGTGAAAGATATTCTAATCTGTCGCCCCAGTAGCCTTAAGCCCTGGTACGGCGAGTGGGCCAACTTTTGTTCCACATAATCCCTCCACCCCAGCGAGGGGAGGTCATGTTTGTCAAAACGTGGAGAAGTGAACGTGGAATTTCTTCCCCTCCTCCTCCTCCTCCTCCTTCTTCTTCTTCTTCTTTCCTAGTTTAATTTGGAATTAAAAATGCATGTGATTCTGAACTTTAGATCTCTGGAGAGAGCCGTAAACAAGTATGAAATGAAGTGTCTTCTGAAAGGCGGCAGGCGAGACGTGAAGGGAATGAAGCCACTGGTATTATTGAGCGATCAGGAGGGAGCGGGGTGACCAGCGAGGCCTCCTCACTCACATCACTCACAGCCCGACTGTATCAGCTGAAAGAACCTGCAGGAGCACCTCTGAGGAAAGAGCAGATACTGATGAACATGACCTTTGATTACAGTCTGAAACTGAAACCAGAAGCCGTAAACAACACTGAGTATGTTCTCTTCACGCAGCACAGAGACGATTCAAACAAACAACTAAACTTTGGAAGGTCGCCGTTGTTGGCCATGCGGCGTATTGAGCTCTGCAGTCATCTATCGGAGCAGCAGACAGTTTGACCAGCAGACCCCCTCCTCCTTCTCCCCCCCCCCTCCCAGATGACGGATGGCGCTCGGCCGGAAACGAGCGCCTTTATCAGGCCGCATTATCCTCCAGACAGGCCAGATTTTTATCCCACTGTATTGGATTTAGTAATTTCCTTTTTCCAAGACGAATGGATTGAGATACTGAGGAGGGGGGAGAGAGGGGAGGGAGGGAGGGGGGGGTTGTATTGTGTGCGACCCCGGGTGATTATTACTTATGATCCGCTCAGTATTTGGGGTTTGTCCCAACGTGTGCCGGTTATTACTCTCAGTCCGTCGAGGCTTTTTCACCTTTCTGAGGAGAAGCTGCAGAGTGGAGTTCAGAGCGTGCAGCAGAGCCTCAAACATCTCCAATTAATCCATCGATAAAAAACTGCGATAGTCCTGATGATTAATCCAAACTCTGAATCGTCACAAAAACAGGATCACACATTTTCTTCTTTTCAGGCTCGTCTGGACAAGTCACTCAAAAGTCAAACGTCACATTGACTTTGTGTGTTTCTGCATTTATCTTCATACTTCTTATGAAACAAGAATCGTTTGATTTGCTTCCTGATTAGCTGGAAATTCAATATGGGAGAAACGGACAAATAAAATAAATCTCGCACGAGAGTTAATTGACCCCCAACATCATTATCTAGTATGTTAGTCCAACTTTGAGGAATTGGTAGATTTAGGTCGGACTTACATGTTTACACAGATTTAAAGGGTCTGCAGTGGTCGGAGGAATGAACCTGAAGGTTGACAAGAAAGGCTTTATCGTGATAAGTTTTAACTCTCGCTGGAGCCTCAAACACTGATGTCACCAATATGCGGTTTGGATTAAAGCATCCATGTTTGTGTCCTCTCTCTCTCTCTCTCTCTCTCTCTCTCTCTCTCTCTCTGGGAACATGTGTGTAAAATTCCCACGGCGTCTGACACACACCTTGTGCGATGAAAGCTGTGTCAGGTAATTTCACACTCTTACACGCCTGCACTTCTCCCCCCTGAGCGAACTCATTACCTGTCTGAGCCGCCGGGAAACACTTTGTGGAGACGTCCGTGTTGAACAAGCTGCACAGGTGTGTGTGTGTGTGTGTGTGTGTGTGTGTGTGTGTGTGTGGGGGATAGTGGATTGTTGGTGCTAAAAGCGGAGGAGAAAAGCGACAATAAAGCAGAGCAGGGACTGAAACGGTTCATGTGCGTCCTGGGGGGCTTTTTCTGGGTAGAAAACCGTAAAAAAAAAGCGGCACAGTGACAGACCTGGGTTTGCTCAAACAGAGGCTAACCAGCGCGGGCAGCTGAGCTCACCTTGTAGCGACGACGACGACACAAGCCCGTTTGGTTTCAGGGGTTCAGTGAGGGGAGAGAGATGAAGGCCAGGGCCCCCGCCAGCTGTTTTTCTCCCTCTGTTCTGCTCTCTGACAAACTCCACCCCCCCCCCACTGGACCTCCCTACCACGCGGGAGCTGTCAAAGAGGGTGGGGGGGACTGGACCTGCCAGCATGCATCTGGCTGACAGGCCACTGGGAAGGTACACTGCGAGCGCACGTCACAATCAATAACCCCTGCTGAGAGCGACGCCCCCCTCCCACCTCGCTGTGTTTTTATTTTTGCACAGAGAGGGGGGTGAGGCTGACATGTCACCTAACAGCACACGCTCGCTCCGGGTGTTTGTGGAGTTTGTTTTGAGAAAATACATATGCGGCGTGTTCAGGGGAGCGTGAGAGCATGCAGGCAGAGAGTTTTGTTGCAGAGGTGCGATACGTGAAGTGAACTGCAGGTCAGTGGGGAGGGGGGGAGGTGAGGAGGGAGGCAGGTTTGGATGCAGAGGTGAAGTAAAAACTGTTCTAAATCTTCTCTGATTGTTTAAGAAGGAAACATTGCTTTGTAGTTGAAATGCT